TGGCAGCCGCCAGCCCTATATGAAGCTTGTGGGGCAAAGTCTTAGGGAACCCCACAGGTGGATGATGGGTCCCGCAGCTCGTCTTTTATGTGGGGCAGCGTCGACAGGGGTGGCAGAGGTGGCGTCCACCTGGAGTGACTGCACGAGTGAAGTCAGGGTGGGAGCTTGGAACGCCCGCTCTTTGCGTCAGGATGATCGATTACCCCAACTATCGAAGGAACTGGGGAGGCTGAGAGTTGGGATGGCTGCTCTCTCGGAGGTAAGAAGACCTGGCAGCGGCATGATCAGTGCAGGTGGCTACACCTATTACTGGTCAGGCCGCAGCAATGGTCACCATCTTCAGGGAGTAGCCATAGCTATCTCCAGTAGGCTCCAGCCCTCGGTGGTAGAGGTCACTCCAGTCGATGAGTGTATAATAGCAATGAGACTGAAGCTAGCATTTGGCTTCATGTCTCTTATTGCTGTGTACGCTTCTACTGGTTTGTAAACTCGACGTGAAAGAGATGTTCTACGCCAAACTTGCATCTGTGACAGACAGTTGTCCCCGGCGAGATATTCGTATTGTTCTGGGTGACTTCAATGTGGTATCTGGCTGCGATCGATCTGGCTATGAAATATCTGTCGGTCCTCATGGTTCGGGAGTTGATACCGGCAGTGAGAATTCCTCCTCCATTTTGCTAGATCCCAGAAATTGAGGATTTCTGGCTCCTGGTACCAGTGCCCAGACCCACATCGTTGGACATGGTACAGCGATGCAACCAAGGAGATCGACCACATTCTCGTTAGCACTCATTGGAGGATCCTCTAGAACTCTAGGAGTACCGAGTTCTGTGGTACTGGCCAAAGATTGGTTGTGGCTACCCTCCGGGTTCACTTCAAAACTCCCCAGCAGCCCTACACAAAACACAACATTTTAATCACTTCTTTTCAAAAATTGGAAAACTAACTTATGAACAAACAACTGCTTCTACATTACAACGAAACACAGATAGGGCAATGTTTACAACTAATTATTTCAGACCACAACCAGTGGACGTAGAAACAATAATCTTAGTAATAAAACACCTTCGCGAAACAAATGCTGTAGGAGCAAACGGTACTGCTTTGCGCTTTATCAGAGATAGTTTACCCGCAATTGCACATTATTTGACGGTCATTATTAACACCTCTCTGGTCACTGGTGTCTTTCCGTCGCTTTGGAAACATGGTATAGTAACACCAATTTTCAAGTCGGGGGATATAGATGATGTGAATAATTATCGCCCTATCACTATACTCCCTATATTATCTAAAGTTCTTGAAAAAATTGTTGCAAATCAATTAACAAGTTTTCCTGGAAATAACTTATTATCTAAAACGCACATGGTTTCAGAAATAAGTTATCTAGAAACAGCTTAACAAATTACTGATGAGATCTATAATAACATAGACAATAATCAAGTAAATTTGCTCACATTATGCGACCTTTCTAAGGCTTTTGATAGTGTTAACCATGAAATTCTCAACAAATTAGTAATTCATAAAATTGATACCTTTTGGTTTAAAAGTTATTTAGATGCAAGGACCCAATCGGTAAGAATCAAAGATTGTATGTCATCAAAACAAGAAGTACCTTTTGGTGTTCCACAAGGATCCATTTTAGGTCCGATCCTATTCACAATTTTCATAAATGATTTATCAACAATAGCTCATAACTGCCTTCTGGTACAGTACGCCGATGATTCACAGTTTCTTCATAGTGACTCTGTAAACAACTTGAATACATTAATAAGAAACACTCAACATACCCTTACACAAGCAAAATTATATTTTGACACTAATGGTCTTAAACTAAAATAAAAACTCAATGTATATTTTATAGGTAGCCGGCAGAATATAGCTAAAATTCCCAATGACACGACCATAGAATTTGAAGGCTGCTCTATCAAGCCGAACACTTCAGTGAATAATCTGGGAGTACACTTAGACAAATACATGACATTTGAACACGTTGACAAGATACACAGGAAAGTAATGGGCACCCTAGTATATCTTAATCACATAAAAAATCAAATCACTACTGAAACTAGAATCATGGTTGTGCAAACTCTAGTTCTAAGCATTATTAACTACTGTTCAAATATTTGGGGTTCGACTAACAAAACCTAAATGCAAAAAGTACAAAAATTACAAAACTTTGCTGCAAGAGTTGCATTAGGTAATATCAGTAAACTTGATCACATTAGCCCACATATCCAAAAATTTAATTGGTTAAAAGTCCAACCTAAATGCAGTTATGATACATGTGTATTCATCTACAAGCTCATTCATGGGAATTATCCGCAATGGTTAATGCCTTGCAAACTGTAGGGACCACATCGGTGTCGTGACACGCCAAGTAAACTCTCTTTATGTTAAGAGATCGAGGACTGATACAGGGGCACGACAAATCGAAATACGTGGACCCAAACTATGGAACATGTTACCAGATAAAATAAGAGTCATTATTAATAGCTTTTGT